CTTGTGCCATCCCTCTCCAGCCTTCCACAAACTTTGGGCAGGGACACCACTCCTACCCCCTGGCTAAGACTACTCCATGGACCCAACCTCCATGACTTGATCTCACTTCCCTTTCAACTCTGTTCTAGTTGTAGCCTTCACAGCCTCCTGCAGCAAGGAGTTCTGCAGGTTAACTATTTGCTTTGTGAAGAAGCACAACTTTCTCTTACTAGTTTGAAGCCTGCTACCCATTCCTTTCCTTTGGTGTCCTCTAGTCCTTCTTTATGGGAACTCAGGAAGAACTTTTCTGAATGCACCCTCTCCACCCAACCCCTGCTTTTAGAGACCTCTATCCTGTCCCCCCTCCGTCTCCTCTTTTCTAAGCTGAACAGTCCCAGTCTCTGTAGCCTTTCTTCATCTGGGACCTGTTCCCAACCCCTGATCATGTTAGTTGCCCTCCCCTCTCCCAGCCTTTCTCTTCCCCTCTCCCACCTCCTTTTCCCAGTCTCCCCCAGTTTTGTTCAATAAAGACAGAGTCAATGTTGGAAGAAACGTTATCTTTATTTTGTACATCAATAAGAAGGGGGGCTAGGGTCTTTATTTTGTACATCAGGAAGGGGGGCTAGGGAGGGGTAAGTGGAAGGAGGTGAGGGAGGAATGGGGTACGTGCCCCCGATGGGGAGGACTGGGCTGGCTCTGCGGGCTTCTGGGGGTGGAAGCTCTCCTGCAGCCCCCCAATTGCCCCCTCTCCCCAGATGGCAGCCTGCGGCAAGTGCAGCCGGGCTGATGGCCGAGTGCTGTGATGTGCCCAGTGTGGGCACTCCAGGCACTCCAAGCCAGGACTGATTTTCAAGCAGGGCACCCCTGAGAACTGTCTGTCCGGGGTGGGGGTCGGGTCCCTTTAAGCACAGCCCTCAGCTAGCCTCAGACAGCATCTCCACGCTCTAAGTCCTCCTCTGATGCCCTGCCGGCACTGCTTCCGGCCATCCTTAAGCCCTGTTCAGAGTCCACTCAATGTGGACTTGCTAGTTCGAATTAGCAAAACGCTAATTCGAACTAGTTTTTAGTTCTAGATGCGTTAGTTCGAATTAGCTTAGTTCGAATTAACTAATTCGAACTAAGTTAGTTCGAACTAACTCTGTAGTGTAGACATACCCAGGGTGTGCGTCTACACTACAGCATTACAACACAAGAACGTCAGTTATTCTGAAATAACGCTGCTGTGTAGACGTACCCTGTGAATGAGATTGTGGCTCTATGTCTTTCTTTTACTAGGCACAGGTGTCACCCTTCTGCCAGGTGGACCCAGCAGCAGCCAGGACTAGGTTCAGTATCTAGGGGATACAATACAGAACTGGCTCAAGGCCCCACCCAGTAACCTGGGAAATTCACACCCCACTCCTGGGTGCTTCTGAGGGGCAATGCTTCCCTATTCGCAAGCACAGAGTCTCCTAAGTGCAGAACAGACTCTTTTAATAAATGGGGGCAGTAACTCAGAGTTAATTTGGGAAAACCCCACAAACAGGGTTCATAAACGTAAACCAGAAAGTCTTACCTCAGGTAGGTTGGGCAGTGTCCTTTTCCTCTCAGGTTCTTAATTCCAGCAACACAAAGGTCCCATTCACATGCCCAGCCCTTCTTGGCACCCTAGAGTTCAGAGGTGCACTCTGGGTGTGGGGAGGAAAAGAGGCAACTTTCTTGCCCTGCTGGATGCTTGGTGAGCCTTTAGTCCCTTGGTGAGCCTTTAGTCCCTTGCCGCCTTCTGTCGTCCTCATTCACTGCTCCCACCAGCTGCTCTCCCCAGACAGGCTCTCAGTTATTCCAGCTCAGAAGCGCAGTCCTGTCACAAGTAACTGCAGCTCCAATGGAGCAAAATAACAAAGGAGGCACCTAATAAAGCTCTATTCTTGGAACAGTGAGAAACAGGTTGAACCTGTCTTGCAGCAGACCCTTGAGGTGTTGAGGCCGGGTTTGGGGCCCCCACATTGGCAAGGAGAGAATGGGCCACTTTATTAGGGGCCCAGAGGCCTGGGTGCCCTCGCCTAGGCTGCAAATTGTGCTGTGTGGGGGAGGGGGCTGGTGTTACAAGTGTAGCCCCTCCCTTACTATAGAAGCCTCTGACCTTTACTGAGAAGATCTTGCGTGCTACAATCTAGCCTTAGAAACTCCCACGATGCCTTCGGGAAAAGGGGGAAAACTGCTCTCTTCCAGCAGTGCTGGGAGGAGCAGATGGTGGGCTGCCCAGAACCTGCTGCTGGGAACCTGCCTGAGCTTTGAGCTGGGAGCTTCAGAGGCTGTTTGGGGGTTGTCCCGGAAGGGGAAAGCCTGTTGCTCTGCCCGGAGCTGACAGAGGGGCCTGCAGGGCAGGAACAGGGACTGTTCTTTGGGGAAGTGCTTGGAAGGGAAGGAGCACAGCAGAGAGACTGAGTCTGAGAGGTAGAGGGATCCGCCCAGTGAACTGGGGCCCAGAACTGCTGGGCTGTGTCTAGACTGGCATGTTTTTCTGCAATGCGGAAAAACTTGCCAGCTGTCTACACTGGCCACTTGAATTTCCGCAAGAACGCTGACTTCCTACTGTCTGAAATCAGTGCTTCTTGCGGAAATGCTATGCTGCTCCTGTTCGGGCAAAAGTCCTTTTGCGCAAAAGGGCCAGTGTAGGCAGCTCAGATTTGTTTTCTGCAAAAAAGCCCCGATCGCGAAAATAGCAATCAGGGCTTTTTTGCGCAAAAGCGCGTCTAGATTGGCCATGGATACTTTTGCGCAAAAAGTGCTTTTGCGGAAAAACATCCGTGCCAATCTTGACGCTCTTTTCCGCAAATGCTTTTAATGGAAACCTTTTCCGTTAAAAGCATTTGCGGAAAATCATGCCAGTCTAGACGTAGCCCTGGTGTTTGGTGAGGCCAGCCTCAGTTTCAGAGGGGTTGTGTAGCTTGTGGCCTTGGCTGGACTAACACACCAAATCTGCACTGTGCCGGCTGCTTGCTGGCTGTGGATCTTCTAGCTCCTCCATGCAAGCAAGTCAAGTGCCTGGGACTCTGAAATCCAGAGGCACGTACGCTCAGGCGTGGGGTCAATGGTGGTGGGGTAAATGCCAGTTAGATGCATTTCATTTATTCCTGTTTGTTAATTCATTTTAGTCCACTGCACGCTGTGGATTTAATGTAGGAGTTATATTTAATCTTAGCCTGTTATATCCTGTTTCTTTAAGCTGTTAAGGAAAGGTGTGGGTAGGCTATTTTAAGAACATTAGATGCATATTATTTATAATTGTTATTTTTGAGTGACATCCCTGTCGCAGAGGGATTTATTCCTGGTGCTTCCCAAGGCACGGCATTGCGTGTGTATGGGGGCTGGCCTGGTGCAGGCACCACCATATTTAATTCCTTTAGAAGCAAGGGACTGCAGAAGATGGACTAACAAAGTCCCTCCTATCGAATGTCACCACTGGGATACTCGGGACAGGGGCAGTGGGGATAATAGGTGGGGGAATGCACTGCCTTCTCACTCTGCCAGCCGGTCCCCATCCAGATTCCACCCCCAGAATGCCCAATGTGGGCGTCCTGGGGTGGAGTATTGCTGCACCCAAGCGCCCGCCCTCCCCGTGCTCTAGGACCAAGTAGGCTGGGGCTGTGCGCTGCCCACCCTCCCTGTGCTCTGGGGCAGGGGAGGCTTGGTTCCCATTGTGGCAGGGCTTGGGTAGAAGGGATGGGACTCCCCCAGCCCATGACTCAGGATCTCCTTTAATATCAACAGCATCAGGTGCCCAGGCACACAGGTGAGTGTTGCCAGCTCCCAAGTGCATCTGTATTGAGCCCGAACAAATTATTTTTGGGCCCTGCACGGTCACGGGACACACCATGCACCGCCTCCTTGAGGTACTCTGGGATTAGTACAAGGCTACTGCCCCGCATCCGCGGTTTGCGCAGTCACTTTGTCAGTTTTGTCAGCAGAAGGGTGACCGTAGAATTTGAAAGCCATCCAAGAGCCGATTCCTTTGCATTCCTTGTCTGATTCTCCCCACCCCAGTCTGTAAGGTTTGGACTCTGTCCAAAACCCATAATTCAAGTCCAACAGCCAGCGCTTCCATTTGAACATATTTCACCCTGATTTAATGCATGATGCCAGCCGAATGCAGGTAGGTTGCCAAGAACAATTTCCTCCAATCAAAGGAAAAGCATAGTTTACCCCTGTGACTAAGATGCATAAGAACACATCTGGACTGGAAAGAGTCTAAGGCAGGGGCTAGAGAGCTCTGTAGCTGGACAGGTCCCACAGCTGGTCTTCCCCAAGCAGAACCAGTATCGCTCTGTGTCCTTATCCAGCTCCTCTTGCAATGACAGAGGGAGTGTGAATGGGTGGAGGGGTCAGAAGGCATCCAGGCCTTAGACCCTGGTTGAGGCTTTTTAGGGGGATCTGGCTGTACATTGGAATTGATGGGAGCCTGTGGCTACATTTGCTATTTAGCTTTGACACTCATTGTGATTACTAATGTCCCCGTCAGCCTAGGCAATGGAGAAGTGGAGGGTAGAGACTGGCAGCTCTGCACACGCTCAAATGCCCTGCAGGGCAGGGAGGCTGACACCAGGGCTGATGTACCTACTGGACAGAACTCTGAGGACCGTTCCATCCATCACCACTCCCTTGCTCTGCAAAGAGCCACTCAGGCATGTGAGAAGCTCTGGGATCCCAGCTCACGCACATTGCTCTGCCCGATACATTCAGCGGGAAAGCTGCTGAGTCACATCCAACCAAGATGGCAGAACAAGTAAGGTTCAATCTTATGTTGCTTCTCTTTGGATGCTGTTTCCAATCCAATGCTTTTCCTCATCTTTTCTGTCACCATTCAGTTATTTTCAGGCATAGCTGGGGATGTTCAAAGAGGGTGGGATTTTTTGTTATTTGAGACATAGTTCCGGCAGCCAACAATTGACATTTAGTAAACAATTAGCCAAGTATGTGAAATCCACTCCTCATAACTTTGCCCGCCTCATTCTGTTTTGCGTCACTTGCTTTCCCTTGTCTTTCCAGCCACTTCAACACACCTTGCACTTCTCACTGTCTCCGGAACTTGTCAGGACAGAAACCAGAGGTGAGTTGCTTTCTGCATTGTTCTCTGGACTGCTGCTTGGGTGGCAAATTATGAGCTGTTGGGACCCCAGTCCAGGGTCTAGGGAAGTGGCCCAACTTGCAGAATACCAAAGATCTAGTCGCAGTTCTGCCAGCAGTGGGGTCTATGACTTTGGGTAGGTTGTTTCCCCGGCCAAGCTCCAGAGGGCAGCTTTGGGGTTCCTTTGGCCAGGACTGCACTGGGTCTCTGCAGGGGTCTTGTCTCTCCCCCTGGAGGAGGGGGGCCAGGGCCTGGTCTGTGTGCGCAGCCAGGTCCGAACCTTCCGCCTCCAGGCCCTGCAGAGACTCCTCTTTAGTGCAGGTAGTCCGGCATGGAGCATTTTGGGGCCCGCCTTCCTCCGCCGCCTCCGAGGGCTCCGATACGACCGGCAGCTCTTTTTCATCCAGCCGAGGGGCCTTCCACGAGACCTCTCAGAACTGCCGGAATTCTACCAGGACCTCCTCCAGACCTGGAAGCTGTTTCTGGCGACCAGGTCCGTTGTGGCCTCCGAGGGGGCAGACCTCCTCGCGGAGCCCCTGCTCCACAATCCAGCCTTGCGCGTGCAGGTGGCGGAGTCTCCCTCGGTGCGCCGGAGGCTGATCCTGGCAGAAAACACCATGGTCGGGGACCTCCTGGACTACGACAGGGGGGACTGGATGGATCCCCGAGCGCTCGCTCAGCGCATGGGGCTTTCCACCCCCCGAACTTCCCTGCGCCTACTCCAGGAGGTGAAGGCGGCTTTGCCGCGGCCCGCTCTCGATTTCCTACAGAGAGCCCTGCGAGAGGGTACGCCCCGCCCCTCCCTTCCTGCAAAGCCTCCGTCCCTTATTATCGGGCCCCTGTTCTGCGGGCCC